TGCTTTCAGCAGACTCCTGCAGACTACATACTACACAGTAACTACATAATTGCCAGAAAAATAAAAAAACAGATGGGGAAAAAGAGAATGAGCAGAGAGGTGTGGCTTTCTTTGAAATCAGATGCAGGGAAGGAACAATTGTTTACTATTGATTGATTGACAGTCACATCAGCCCAGAAAGGTCCCACCCAGACAAAGCTACCAGAGGCATTATAAAGGTGAAATACCTCCAACAAAATTTCCCACCGTGCTTCTTGGGAGAAGGGCCAGCCCGTGTAGTCTTGGGCAAGCTGCACTGTCCCAGAGCATCCAGCCCCCCCCAAATAAAAATAAAAATGAATGGTAAGCTACTGTATATCTAGAAAACACTGGCAAGGGACATGAAGATAAAATACTGGCAAGGGCCTTGATGGGGATGTATCATCTCCAGGCTTCAAAGGAAAGTACTTCAAAATGCCAGATGCAGGGGAGGGGTATCAGGAGACAGGGATATAGTCATCTTGTGTGCTCCCCAAGGTTACACAGATTAGGGATACGACACAAAAAGTTCAGGAAAACAAACTAAAAACTATTTTAAAAGGACACATACAGTGGACCCTTGACTTACAGACGGCTTGACTTACAGACTTTTTGAGTTACAGACTTCTCTGGCCGCAAATTTTAGGTTTGACTTGTAGCCTGAGAATTGACTTACAGACCAGAAAAAAAACAAAATGGAACAAAAACGGCCTGTTACGGGATTAATCGGTTTTCAATGCACTATAGGTCAATGGAGACTTGACCTACAGACTTTTTGACTTGAGAACCGCCTTCCAATACGGATTAAGTTCTCAAGTCAAGACCCCACTGTATAAGAAGAAAGGCCAGGCCACAAAACAAGAGTACAGATAACTAGCAAAGAATTGCAGTGATGGTGTTTGGAAGGCGAAAGCAGAGTATGAGCTGAGGTTAGCAAGGGATGCTAGAAGCAACGAGAAAAGGATTCTTAAGGTACATGCATAACAAAAGACAGAGAAAAGAAACAGTGGCTCAGCTAATCAATGAGGATGGGAAAATATTAATAGACAACAAAGGACTCAATTCCTATTTCAGCTCCGTCTTCTCCCAAAAGGAGTCTATGCTCCTCCAGACAAGATTGCAGGAAAAATGAGGAACACCTTACTACTTTAAATGAGTTCAATGAACTCAAATACCTTACTACTTTAAATGAGTTAAATGAACTGCATCCAAGGATACTGAAGGAACTGGTTGAAGAAATCTCAGAAACACTGTCTATTATTTTCTTGAAATCATGGAAGAGGTGCAAAGTGCTGGATGAGCTAATGTCCCAATCCTCAAAAAGGGCAAAGGGGAGGAACCAGGGAACTACAGACCAGTCAGCCTGATATCAGTCTCAGGGAAAATTCTGGAGCAGATTATAAAGCAGTCACTCTGCAAGTGCCTTGGAAACAATGCAGTAATAACTAGAAGCTGAAATGGATTTGTCAAGAACATATCCTGCCAATTTTTTTAAAAAAAAATCAGATGACCTCCCTGTTAGATGGTGGAAATGCTGTAGATATGATATATCTTAACTTCAGCAAATGTATCTTGACTTCAGCAAAGTCTTTGACAAAGTGCCCCATGATATTCCGGTATTGGTACAAAATTCATCTGGAAACATTCCAAGTCCAGTACACAGCCGAACAAGGCTTATTTTCTTTCAGTCCAGAAAGTAAATGTTGTGGATGATTTTTGAAGCAACTCCCATGAACAAAGCTAACTTTCTCTATTGTTGCAACTTAGCACATAGCATATGGACAGTTTGGTAAAGTAAGGAGTCCATGAGTTCAGAGTAGAGCTATCTTGTAATGCGAAAGGCTTGGAAGGGCTTAGGACCTTTGGATCTTGCTTTAGCAAATCCTCTGTGGTGTGTCTGCAGAAGATGAAATGTATACTCAGTGGTGGCTTGCTTTTCCCCTCCAAATTAAGTCTTATTTCATTCTTCCCTTTGTAGAAAATTTAATATTTTTCTTCAACATCGAGGTGGTGGCTTACCTCCTCTTGGCCCACCTCTCTGCACCAGAGGTGTCCCCCGATGACATCAATGTTGCCTCTAAATTTGCAGGCATCCTTGTTCTATTACAGAATGTATTTGGGGGATTTTCTTCCACACAGGTAAGTCCAGTTCTCTCCTATGGGGGGGGGGAGAGAGATAGCACATAGTAAGTAAAGAAAAACTAATTCTAGGGGGACAAAGACCCTTAATGAAAGAGCAAGCATTGAATCCATGCTGTGCAGGACCAGAAGGCAGTGTCATTAAAAAATGGGGCGGTGGGATCTGTGGCAAGAAATGCCTGCCACGCCCTGTGGTTGAGTGCCTTTATAAAACCAGATCCGATTTCTGTCTTCAACCTTTACTTAATGTAGGTGTCCGTTCTGATACATCTTTACGTCTGAAACCGCTTGGCCAGTTTAACTGCTCTATCACATAGTTTAATGTTTGTTACTCCTGGACTACCTCTGTCAATTGGCCGTGTCCGGATCTTCAATGTCATGTTAGTGGGTTTCCTGCGTAATATGAATTTCTTTATCAGGTTTTCCCAAGAAAACAACAACGACGACTAGACATTCATAAACAAAACTAATAGCTGAAATCCTGTTGCGCAGCTTCATGTGTGCAATGATGATGGCATCATCACTAGGAGCAAATTTGGGGGATTTGGCGGTGCATGCAACTAGTCCATAAAGCATGGAATTGCCTGCACTCTGAAATCCCCAAGGAAGCCTTTAATCAGTGGCAATTTGCTGCTGCTGTCATCATGACTGTTGCATATGTGGACTTGTGCACCAGGATTTCAGCCAACATTTTTGGCAACATGTTCATTTTATAATACAGATTCTTCCCAACCAGCCAATAATATTTGCCACTATGTCAGCTCATTTTCTATTTCCATCAATAATGTGTGATCATCATACTAAACTAACCCAACTAAACTAACCCATCTAGAACGTGTTGTATCCAGATATCCAGACCGAGCTGGTTGGTCAGTTTGCTAATAATGATGATGGTGGTGGTGAAGAAGAAAAATGTCTCATCGAGTAAATTCTGACTGGTTTCCGGGGTTTTCTAGGTAGAGAGTACTCAGAAGTGGTTTACTGTCCCCATCTTCTGGGGGCACTTTGAGGATGTGTAGCTTGCCCAAGGGCACCCAGTTGCTGTGTTGGCTTATATGCTGCCCCATAGTGCTAGAGCACTCGCTGCGTGGCTTACAACATAATTATGCAAGGAACACTTTACCCACCAGCAAGCTAGGTACTCATTTACTGACCTTGAAAGGATGGAAGGCTGAGTCAATCTTGAGCCAGCCATGTGGCTTGAACTCAGATCTTGAGCAGAGGCTTGACTACCATCCTGCAGTTTAACCACTGCACCAGCTGGCCTCAGTCCACTTCATGAAAGAAATTTTAACAATGCAATTTTTGACAGATGGAAGCATGTTAAGAAAAATCTCATCTGATCTAGATATGAAACACATTAAATATTAAATATTAAATATTAAACACATATTTAATGAAGTGCTTTGAGCAGTTAGTTCGGAAATATATTATCTCCTGCCTTCCTGATTCCTTTGATGGGCTTCAGTTTGCTTATAAAGAAAATAGATCAACCGAGGATGCAATCAATACTGTGCTTTATATGGCTTTATCCCACTTGGAAACACAAGGGAATTATGTAAGAATGCTGTTCGCGGACTTTAGCTCTGCTTTTAACACCATTATACCCCACAGATTAATAGACAAACTTAAAGATCTTGATTTTCCAGATTCTATCTGTCTGTGGATTTTGGATTTTTTAACAAATCGTCCACAAAGGGTTAAACTGAATGACTACATCTCTACTGACAAGATACTCAGCACTGGCACTCCACAAGGCTGTGTCCTTAGTCCACTACTGTTCTCCATTTATTCATCGGATTGCACCAATAACCATCCCAGTAATAGGATTATCAAATTTGCAGACGATACTACACTAGTAGGACTTATCTCTGGGGATGATGAGTCTGCGTATCGGGACGAGGTATTACAGCTATCCCGCTGGTGCAAAAAAAACAATCTTTTATTTAACATCCAAAAAACCAAGGAATTCATAGTGGACTATAGGAAAAAAAGAGCAGACATTCAGCCACTGTATATAGATGGAGTTTGTGTGGAACAGGTGGTTGAATGTAAGTTTCTTGGGACTATCATAACAAATGACCTGACTTGGAGTGCAAACACCGCTGCGTTAATCAGGAAGGCACAACAACGGTTGTATTTTCTAAGGATTCTTAGAAAGCAACAATTGACTGAGAGTTTGTTAATCACCTTCTATAGGAGTTCGATTGAGAGCATATTATCCTACTGTCTCTGTGTATGGTTCACGAGCTGCACAGTGGCAGAGAAAAAGGCAATTCAAAGGGTGATTAAGACGGCCCAAAACATCATTGGCTGTTCACTCCCCTCTTTGGAAGAATTGTATAAGAACAGATGTAAGAGGAAGATATCTAACATACTGAAAGACTCCTCTCATCCGGGATATCAGCTCTTTAAACTATTACCATCAGGAAGGAGATTCAGGGTATTGAAAGCAAGGACAAGCAGATTCAAGAACAGTTTTTACCCAAGTGCAGTATTGAGTTTAAATGCGGGGCCATAGGTTTTTGCCCCATAGTGCTAGAGCACTCTCTGGGTGGCTTACAACATAATTATGCAAGGAACACTTTACCCACCAGCAAGCTAGGTACTCATTTACTGACCTTGAAAGGATGGAAGGCTGAGTCAATCTTGAGCCAGCCATGTGGCTTGAACTCAGATCTTGAGCAGAGGCTTGACTACCATCCTGCAGTTTAACCACTGCACCAGCTGGCCTCAGTCCACTTCATGAAACAAATTTTAACAATGCAATTTTTGACAGATGGAAGCATGTTAAGAAAAATCTCATCTGATCTAGATATGTTTATCATATATAATTTCTGGAAGAGTTGTTTTCGTATCACCAAACCCAGATATAGTACTATATTTGAACATATTCAAAACAAGATTTCAATATAGGTTAAATGGTTTCTTGGTCCAAAGAATAATGATGGACCTTGTCTTGCTCAGGTAACTCCTTCTTTGTTTCCAGGACTCTATAGTTGCCCTGCAAGCTTTGACCAAATATGCAGGCTTGACGTACCGTGAGATAGAAGACCTAAAGGTCTTGGTGAAGTCCAGCAAGGATTTCCAGCATGAATTCCATGTGGACAAGAAGAACCGCCTGGTGCTGCAGAAGGTCTCTCTTCCAGAGATCCCAGGTCAATACAAGGTGGAGGTCTCAGGGAATGGCTGTGTCTATGTGCAGGTGAGCTAATGGACCAGAAAAAGATCAAGTGAGCATGACCTTTGATTTACTAAGATTGAGATGTGAAGTGGAACCCGGCAACAGTCTCCAAAGAGTTATCACGGGAGCCAGAGAAATTGTGTATCGAAGGGAGCAGTACAGGCAAATGAATAGAGAGCCTGCGTTTATCAAACTGACTGAACCTAGCCAAGTAATTTGTCCTGGGAGACAGAGGTGGAAATGAGGTTTGGCTGGAATCCTTAACAGGAGTACTCTGCTCCATGGTGCAGTATTTTGTTTTAAGTCCAGCTTGTGAAAAAGATTTCATTATTTATTGTCAAAAATGTGGGGAAAGCATTAGATATTTCTACTCTTAAAATATATACCCCTCCCAGAATTATCCCAGTTCTCCTTGCCAATGTCAGCCTTCCTGAACACACTCCTCCCCAGATGTTATGGACTCTAGTTATATTTCATCAGCATCGTCAAAGGTTAGGGTGATGGGATTTGAAACTCCAAACATCAGGAGGGTACCAGATTGGAGAAGACTGCTGTATCCCACAAGTTTATTGAACTGAAGTGAGTTGAAATACATATCACTTGGAGTATAAAACTAAATGACGGGGGGAAACTAGGTGGCCCACTCAACGTTCCCCAGGTAAATACACAGTCTAGCCGTTTGCCAATCACTGTTGTAGGATCTCTCTTACCCAGCACTGTTATCAAAATAAAAACACGTTCTTCTGTCTCCTAGGCCACTCTTCACTATAATGAACCTCCTCTGAAATCTGATGCTTTTGCTCTAAATGTGACAACATCATCAAAGGACTGCAGTCAGAATTCCTTAAAACAGTTTGATGTCTACCTCCAAGTGAGGTACTGCTCTGTACTCAAGTCTTATTTGTCTTTCTGCTTTCTATAAGAAACAGCACCCTGGGAGTCAAAAAAAGAGTACGGGAAAAAGTTATAGTTGCAGGCAGATAAGTATGTTGGAGGAACAGGCCTTATGTTTTTAAAATATCTGCTCAATGGGATTGGTCTGTCATCAGGCATCTTCAGTCTATGCTTTTCTTTGGAGGCAGAATGATGAGCAGAAAGGCAGGTAGATTAACTAGACGCCGTGAATTCCTGCCCTTTGATCTGTAGCCAACTGATTGTTGTGTTCAACGTTACCGGGAACGTCTTTGGGGGGTGAAAAGCCAGGCAGTTGTTTTGGGGGCAAGGAAGACAGGATAATGCAGGAATTCCCAGCCAGGCCCTTGGGGAGGAGCCCAAGAAGCGAAGGACATGATCACCTGCACATGCAGAAGGCGAAAAGGAGATGGGATGTAAAGAACCAAGGGATTTGCAGCATAGAACATGATGATGATGGGGGAAATTCTTATTTCAGCCACAGGGGAAAACAGCTCAATATATTATTATCGCTAAAATAGTCCCTGAATTAAATCTATTGATGGCATGGTGGTACAAAATGCTTGTGCAGTTAGAATTCTGGAACTAAAAACAGCATTATTTATTTCCCTTCTCTTGGCTGGATGATGCATGCTGATTCAAGAATGTGGCACTTGATTAAAAAGCCACCACGTCTTCCAACGTTTAAAATGGCAAGTGTGGCAAGAGTCTTTGGAGAATGTTTTCGACATCTCACACAATACCTTTCCCTTTAGTAAGAGAGACTAGGCTCTGGTTAATGTCGCTACAACAGCCTGTTAAGAATGTTACTACAAATTACAGTCTGGATCATTCCAAACTGAAAATAGACTTCTTTCATCTTCCAGATGGCTGTCTGATTGGGAGCTGGGCAAGATCACATTTCAGGTTGTGACTTAATGATTCAGGACAGTATTTATGGTTATTACCTGACAGAGGGCACCAAAGAAAATTAAAGCACAGCCCCATGCTTCATTTATGACAAAAAAACAAATTCTTGACAGTTTGGTATATTAAAGGTGGCATCTTTAGCTGAGGGCAAAATCCAGGCGTAGCTCCACATTTAAAGCAAACCTGCCAAGCGGTGCCATTAGAGTCTAGCAAAGCAAAATTAGCCATCAGCTCTTTTGATTTATATGTATCCATCGGAAACATTCTGGTGCTTCCCTTGAAGTTGGCCTTCCCTGTGCAAGACACAAATATGAGCGACAGCTTTTGGAGGAGACAAACAACATAATTACATGAGTCTTTTTATTTGATGTGGGATTCTCTTGCTTGAAATAGTATTCTTTGGGGCATATTTTTGACATGATTACGATCACGGATAACCCCTTCAGGAGAAAAACATGCTTTTTTCTCTTTTACCATGAAAAAATATACTATACATTAATTTTTTTGTTTCTTCTAATCTTATCAGTACAGCTCATTTTCTGCAGGAGAATCGTGAAGATATGTGCTGATCTTTAGGTCCTTTGTGCAGTTCAAGATTTTATGGGACTCCAGTTGCCTCCCTCAATACCTTTATTGAGACACAATTTTTTGAATTACATTAACATTAAAATACTTTAACCATGTCTTTTCCCCTTCTGTTCTGGCAGCTGCTGGGGATGTCCCAAGTTAAAAATGTGGAAATTGAGAATGACAAGGTCAACATCTACCTGGATCAGGTAAGAGATATTCACATCTCTGTTAGAGTGACTTAAAACTGGAGTATGAAGAAGAAGCTCTGAGGTGGTGGTTCATCTAGGACAGGGGTCTCCAAACATTTGACCATGAGGGCCACACTGGATACTTCCAATATTTTTGAGGAATGAAGGAACAGGAATGTGCGTATGTGTGTATGCGCGGCCGGTCGCCCTGTATCCGCACGCATGCACTGATACCTCGCTCACTTATCTTGTCTTGTTAATCTGCATTAATAATAAGGGAACTAGTTTAAGATTAAACAGAGATAATTATCTTCACTATTGGAACCCTGTTCAAGTTAAGTTGCTGTGCTATATGCCAAGTAGGGGAGCTGAGGAAAGAAGCATTCGAGAACCAGGAGACAAGTGAGTTCCTAAGAAAATTAGTTTATGTCACAGGGAAACAGGATAAGAAACGGTCAGGTTACCTAACAATTTTCTTTCCAGTATTACAAGCGCTTGTAAGCACAGAGCTCTGCAAAGTGTTGCACCATTCACCATTTCCAACACTATCTGTAATTTTTTCTCTTCTCCTTGTAGATGGATAACAATGTCCAAAAGTACAATTTCTCCGTGAAGCAGAGAACTGAAGTATTGGATCTGAAGGCAGCAACAGTGAAAGTCTATGATTACTATCATCCTGGTAAGCACATCGCATTGCAGCAGGGACAGGTATAACCAAATGGATTCCATTTATTGATGCACACGTCCTCTTTAGGTGTTAATCATAGAAGGCTTTACTCTAACACTGAAGGGAGCCAGGGGTGTGTACTTGGCTCCCGCCCTTTCCACAACTGCTCACTCTTGCGTTGATAAGGGTTATTTGTTGGAAGTGGGTTGTAAGCATGTTCACAAAGCATGTTCACTTCTCCACAAAGACCAGGAACCCTCATAAACCAGCCTTCACAGCTGTGCGAAGCTCTACTTGAAGCTCTTCAGCCATCTTTGCAGACCTACCTCACCAACCTTAGGAGCTTGGGAATGGAGCATGCAGAGGTGAAACCCCCTTCACTGTGAGACTACAGCCCTCATTCATGAATGTCTGAAGTGGGCCCATATGTAGTCGGCATGTAAAGATTCAGATGTACACTTACCGCATCAGAGTCATGTTAATTTCACTGGGTCCAAAATAAATGATATGACATATTTTGACCCACATTGACGTTTATGCTTCCTGAGTGTATAATTATAGAATTATAATGATGAGTTATTAGCTCCTGACAAGGAAGTCCTGACACGTATAGACATACACTAATGGGAGATTCGAATGGAGCCTCCAGGCAAAGCAAAATGGAAAGCCATGTCCTCAAGCACACTAAATAAATGCCCCCGTGCACATTTCTTGATACTGCTGAATAAAAATATTAGTGGTGTACTTTTCTAGGTTCAGACTGTTTGTTTGCAAAGGATCCCGATGAATGAATGAATATTTTTGACTCATTGAATGCCAAAAGTACATTTTCCTCTCCTGTAATTTACCACAGGTTGCAGAAAACAGGTTGCTCCAAAAATGGCTGCAACAGAAATACAAATTCATCAGAGAGTAAAAGCCTGGGAAAAAAATACATTTTTTAAAAAGTAACTAAAAGCCTAAGATAAAGTGAGCCTCCATAGACAGTGGCAAGTCGGCTTTGCCCTGTAAATCCAGTGAGAAGGAGCCAAGATTTCTCTGAGATCACTCATCCTTGGCTATGCTGGTGAGGGCTGGTGGGAGTTGCTGGTCTAACAACATCCACAGGGCTGCGTTTTGCCCATTCTTGTCCAGCAGTAACTTCTGGCAGAACATTAAAGAAAAGATGGTATTGGGGTTTCTCACAGACTGTCCTCTCTTTTTCTTTCATGCACAGAAGACAATGCGGTTGAAGAATATAACACACCTTGTAGCAGAGGTAAGGAT